GACCCTCTGCCTTCATACCCTGAAGAATGGGAGCTTACCACTTCCTGAGGAAGCCCCTTGTATCTTTGGATAGTTCTAACTGAGTAAAACACAGATAGTACTTTCTGTGGGGAAACTGAGGCACAGAAAAGCTCTTGGTACTGAGAGGAGCTGAGATTGTCAGTTTCCTTATTGGCTGCTTGGGAGATAGTTCATGCCCCTGTGTGTGTGTGTGTGTGTTCTAAGCATTTGAGAACCATGTTAAAATGCGTCTTTTATTTTAAAGAGCATTTCAGAATTCAGGGCTCTCACGTGAAGATGTGAGCTCTAGGTGAAGCACCACTGGGCAGGCAGCAAGGCTCCTTTGAAGAAGACCACCCCTTGTCAACATTGCTAATGCAAATACAATGCAGTCCTTTAAAGACATTTTCCCCAGAGGATCATGGCCAAGGCCCAGCCCCTCACCTGAATAAGCAAAGTGTTGGCTCTGAGAATGGAGAAGCAGACAGAAAAGGGACACTTGTGAACAGACCCTCCATTTGAGAGGCCATTAATTACTGGTTTTAGTTGTGGTGTAAACCCAGGCTGGGGAGGGCCTACCATCCCCTCTCCCTGGATGGGTCGGAGATTTGAAATCAGGCAAAGTCACAATAAAACCTCCAGGAGTCAAGCTAGGCCTCCACAGGCGGAGGCAGCCCAACACGAGGTGAGCGGGCAGGCAGGGCCGGCCCAGCCCAGCAGCTGTGGGCAGAGCCTCGTCCTGCGTGAACTCACGCCCGTTCACTGGGAAACAATTTATTACACCCCAGTCCCGCTCCTGAATCACTGCTGAAATAAATGCAGCCGAGAGTGCTTATCCCGTGTGTGGGTTATGAGCAGTCTGTTTTTACGAAATCAGTGCCTGAGGACTTTGGCAAGTGAAAACATTTGAGGCTGTTATCATCTGGAGGAGACAGCTGGAGCCAGAGAGGGGGTGAGATGACTCAGATACGAGAGGCAGAGAGACAGACGTACGCAGCTGAGAAGCCCCTGGAATACCTATGTTTAGCGATGCTGCTTCTCTATTTTGTTTTGTTTTTCTTTTGGCACCTGGCCGGTCCAGGGATCGACCCATGCTCTAACCAACTGAGCTCACCGGCCAGCCCTAGCAGTGCTTCTTCATCACCACCACCTCTGTCACCACCAACATCACCACCGCCACCATCACCACCACTATTAACATCTCCACGATCATTACCACCATCACCAGCATCATGATTACCATCACCACCACCATCAAGCATCACTGCCATCACCATCACTGCTGTGATGGTCATTGTCACCATCACTGGACTGTGGCTTTTAGTAGTACCCAGAAGGGTAAACCTTTGTTCTTTGGGGAGCCAGCAGATATATCCTATAATAATAGTACTAGTGCTATTTTCATAACACTAGTAACTAATAGTACTGCTAGTTACTAATAGTGCTATTGTAATATTTATAGTAACTAAGAGTACTAACAGTTACTAACAGTGCTAGTACTGTTATTACAAATAGTACTAGTAGTAAGAGCTGGTATATTTTTTAATTAAGGTATAAATATGCTTTGCTTTTAGTCCTCGCCACAACCCAGTAAATGGGGATAGGTGTTTTATCCCTGTTTTGCAGAGAAGGAAACAGAGGCTCAGAGAGGTTGTTGACTTGCACAAGGTCACACAGCTAGTGAGTGACAAAGTCTAGATTGGAACCCAGTGCATGCAGTTCCTAAGAGCTGGGCCCCCACCCTGCACCGTGAGGGCGTCCACTCTCCTGAGCCATCAGCTCTCGGCCCCGCATTCCTCAGCAGCTGGAACATCCATGAAGCCACAACCACCCCCACCCGTCCCTCTAGAATTTAGGAATTGTCCTTTGGCCACTTGCATGGGCACTGCAGCAGAGAAGTTCACTAGGCGTTTGAGCTTGTGAGACCAACCTTCAGGTGACACTGATGGTGATGCTGATGAGCATGAGGATGAAGAGGAAGAAGGAGAGGAGAAGAGGCGGGGACGGGACAGGCAGAGGAGGAGGAGATGAAGGACAAGAAAAGGAAAAAGTGACAATGGTGAACACGGTGGTGACGGTGACGACAGTGATGGTGTGCTGGTGGCGAGCACGATGGTTCAGATGCTGGTGATATTGCTGATGCACACTGTTAATGACAGCAGCTCTTGGGCACCTCCCGTGTGCCAGCTCTGTCGCGCCTAATCATCACAGCTCTGCCAGGTAGGCACCGTCATTCCCCCTATTTACAGAGGAGGAGGTAGAGGTGGGAGAGGCTGAGTGACCTCGGGGTTCACAGCCAGCCCTCTTACCCGCCAGACAAGGACTTACGGAGCAACTGCAGCGCCTGTAACTTCCTTTCCCTTCCTTTCCTTTCACACCTTGCACGGTTTGAGAAAACCGCTGTCACCTTTGTGTCTGGCAAAGCTCACATCAACCCCATTTCACAGATGAGCAGACTGAGGGTGCGCGGCCACACGCTCAGCCCTGCGCTGCGGCTGCTCCTGCCACACCCCACGCCCGTTCACCTGTCCCCTGTTGCTCCCGCAGACGGACACTCGGCGGTGGCGAGGACCGCGCTCCCTGTCCCGGAAGGTGTGCTGCGTGGCGCTGCCCCTGCAGCTACTCCTGCTGCTGCTGCTGCTGCTGCTGCTGCTGCTCCCGGTTGGGGAGGAGGAGCGTAGCTGCACCCTGGCCAACAACCTCGCCCGCTCCTTCACGCTCATGCTGCGCCACCACGGCCCCCCGCCCACCTAGCCCACTGGCGACAGGCAGGTGACTTTCTTCTCCAGCCTCATCAGTCCTGGGCTCCTCCTGAGGATGCCACCCC